CCCCGTCGACAACAATTTTGGAAAGTTTCTCCGGAAAATTTTTTTTGACAACTCGGGCACAATCCGAAAAAGTCGGGCAAATTTCTCTCCGCCCCCCTAATTTTTTCCTTCTCGTACGCCCATGAATGATTGTAAAAGACTATATACATGCCCTATATATATATTTTTAGAACTACTGAGTATTTTAACAAAATGCAAAACAAGTGAAACTCCAAATATCGATAACATTTTTATTTATCTACGCCGGTTTGGACTATATTTCAGTCATCACTCATCATCAGGATAAACTAGCTATAGGTTATACATCAAAATTGATATAAATACTGCTTGCGATGTATAACCTAGCGGCTAGTTTATCCTGATGATGACTGAAATATAGTCGAAACGTAGATAAATAAAAATGTTATCGATTTTTGGAGTTTCACTTGTTTTCTATATAGCCTATATATATAGTATAGCTAGTATGCCGAGAGCTAAAAGCGAGGTTAGAATAAAAGGGGCCGATTACATGGGCGAGTTGTCCCGGCTAAGCTCTCTCTCTCATTTCTGTCGCGTGAGATTATTATTGATTTTTGCGCCTCTAACTTAGCCTGCGTCGCATACTTCAAAACTTTGATGTATGCGACGCAGCTAGGCTACTCGACTAACTCTAAGCCTAAGGGCAGGGACGTCGCTATAGGGGAGGGGGTTGTGGGGGTGTACCCCCCCCCCCCAATAATTCGAACGTTGGTCAAAGTTGGTCAAAATGGAACTGATATTTGCCCAAAGTTGGTCAAAATGGAACTGATATTTGCTTAAAATTGAAGGTAAAACTCGGAAAAATGTGGTCAAAGTTTAGGATAAAAAATGGTCGAAGTTGCTCAAAGTTATGAAGTGGTTCGCAATTTTAACAATTTTAAAGCTTTTGTTATGTTTGCGGTGAAAAAAAATTGGAAGCCTTGCTTATCTTGGTCAAAATATTGAATATGCTTATGTTAGTCCTGAAACATTTTTTCGCGACCATGCTTATTTTAGTCCGGAAAATTTTTTTGACCTCCCCCGTCGACAACATTTTCGGGAAAAATTTGTACGACTTGGTCAAAATCCTAGGAAATGTTGGTCAAAACATGACGACCCCCCCCCCCCCCCCCATGTTGATGGCTTCGCGACGTCCCTGACTAAGGGGCTGCTTACATGGAGAGTTTTCAGCCCGGGCTGAAACTCTAAGGATAAAATTCTATTAAAACACAGCAAGCGATTACATGACCAAAATTCCAGCTGAAATTTCAGCCCGGTTTGAGCTGCCCCGGCTGAAATTTCAGCCCGGGCTGAAACTCAGCCCAGCAGCATGTAATCGCAAATAATTTCAGCCCGGGTAAAAAAACAACCGTTTAAATGGCTTTATTTTGCGTGTTTGTTTCATCTTTAAATACTTTACATATATAACCACAGTCTCACACAAGTCCCCTAAATCTGAATTGTTCAATCGACCCACGCATTTAAAAATATCGCGTTCCTCAACTAAACCAAGCTTGTGTTTTAGTGACCAATTAGTTGCTTTTGACCAAGTTGTTTTGTTTTTTAATGACCATGCAAGTTGCTCAAAATTTCCCTGTTGCTTTAAACAATTTTGCGCTTCTTTTATCCAATCATCTTGAGCTGTATGCATGCAGCTCCGCTCTATAGTATAGTGACTAGTGCAGTGAGTTGATCTTTTCGTCTATATATTAACTGCTTTCATTTTGACACAATAATTGTAAATAAAGCCACGCACCCGAACTGTTAGGCTACTCTCAAAAGTATTAACAAACTGCTAAAGTTTTGAATTGTAATAACATTGGCAACACTTGAAACCTGGCGCGTTTCCGTAATAGGAACGTTAAACAAAAACAGGAACTTTTAGCATTTTAGTAAATAAAACGGAATGTACGTAAGCTTACGTGCGTAAGGGAATTTGTGGGTTGATTTGAGGTCAACCCTAAGCGACGAAGGTGTGCATATATATCAATGTGCGTCACGCATTGACCTTCCTCTGGGAAAAAGTTCCCATAGCATGAAGTATATATAAGAAAAAGTTCCCATAGCATGAAGTATATATATAAGAAAAAGTTCCCATAGCATGAGCATATATACATATATATATACTCATGCTATGGGAACTTTTTCTTAATTACTTCATGCTATATATATGGGAACTTTTTCTTATATATACTTCATGCTATGGGAACTTTTATATATATATATATATATATATATATATATATATATATATATATATATATATATATATATATATATATATATATATATATATATATATATATATATATATATATTTACGTTTTACCTCATAAAAACCACAACAGTCTGTTTCATCCGCATAGGAATCATCAGTTACTTGGACCTATTATCATGCAGTGCTCACAGTGCGCTAGATATTTGCATATAATCTTCACAGGATCTCCACATGCAGGCTCCAACTTCCATTTCCCCTGTCTTATTTCCCCTACTCAATATCTAAGATCAAACAGTCACATCAGGCACTTCATATGATGGCAAATCATTAAATAAAAAAACAACAAAAAGACTTGATATAGGCCTATACACTAATTGGTACTTAATATTGGACCTATACAATCAGTAAGCAATATTGCAGAAACGTTACAGACAATAACTTTATTTCCTTTTCCAACCTCAATTTCCCGTGTCTTAATTTCCCCTGCTCAATAATATAAATATAGCTACAGCCTACACTACACTTGTCACTTGCACCTATTGCGGAAAGGAGAAAGATTACACGATGGCTATATTTGTTATCATGTTAGTCATTGCAGGATTGGCTGCAGGTAAGTGGAAAATCACTATACTTGTTAACTATATGTTAGCATGCATGCATGCATGTACTCTGTAAATTGATAATTAAGATCAGCAGGTCTTTTGTAATCTATAATTTTTTTGTCCAATAAAGCTGATAAAATAAAATAAACTAAAATATAAGACAGGTCTCATCTAGATTTATGCTGAAAAATATGTATTTTCTAGCAAAATGCAGAAAAACGGGAGGAATAATACAAAGAATTACATTTTCCCATTGATTCTTAACCTGCATTTTTTACGTTTTCTATAATTTTCTGGGCGATAGGCCGTGGCTGATGGGGCTTCTACCTGTCGGGGGCTCTGAGTTTTTTAACTAACCCTATACCTAATATGCGTTACGCCACTGTCCGTATGGCCATTGACACAAATATATAATTTAGTATGTTAGTAAATTTCGCGTGCAGCAAACGGCGATCAACCAGCAGTTATGCAACTTATGCTTATGCCCCTTTCAATTCTAATTCAAATGTTATATACTATCTCTTGCCACCCCCCAACACATTGAATTGTAGTCGTGTTTTAAATGGTACATAATTGGCGTTGTCTTGGCCATGAGATAAGTCGGTACTCGCGGTAGTGACTTAAGTAAAGAAAGCTCACATATGCCTATCGTATTATCGTGTACATAAATCGTAAGTAATAATGTTACAAATGACGTCTATACTTTTCTTCTGTATACTATTTGTATTTTGTATTATTTTGTTCTCTGCTTTATCACAATTGGTTTGCACAAGAATCCCCAGTTCCCTTGATTTGACAAATTAACTCGCGACAGTGTCACGACAGTTACAACCATATGGAAACAAGCATAAAAGTCATTCACCACAAACCCTTCACGACACGTTGGGGACACGTTGGCGACAGTTACAACCTGATATGGAAACCAGGCTTAAGACAAGGAGAATATTATATTTCTAGCTAGTTTAATCATATCTGTTTAAATACAACCAAAAATATTGGAATTTTCTGGGGGTGACAATGTCAATATGACTCATGCAACAGGCCTTGCCACACCATTTTTGTAGACTTTTTTCGCCACAAGCATGCCGTTATACTGATCAAATTTCACTTCCTCGGTTTTCCTTGCGTGGAATTTCTTTAAATCCGTAGCATTTTTAGCTACTGCTCCTGGATAGTTCCAAAAAATGTACTGTACAGCCAAGCAAATGCTTTGCAAATAAACGAACCTTTCTGTTTTGTAGTCTCACCGAAGTTAATTTTTTTTTACGAACAGTCGATACAAGCGCCAATCCAGACTGGTCTCGTGTATCAGGAGCCTTAACTCAACACGATATCAGCCCTGATGATATTCTCTGGGGAGTGAACAGTGCAGATAATATTTACATACGAAATGGAAACGGATGGTCTCAAGTAGGTGGTGCTTTGAAACATGTAACGGTTGGTAAAGCTGGGGTTTGGGGAGTGAACGCTGGTCGAAGCATTTTTTATCGTAATGGAGTGACATTGAGTAATCCAAAGGGTTCTTCATGGACACATATACCAGGTGAAAAATTGATCATTTTTATATCCAGTCAGTAACAGAAAAAATGAGAAGGTGTAGACCTGGGGGAGAACATAATCATTACATAGAATACTGTATTTAATTATGGGAGTGTTACCAGGGCCTTTCAGAGGGAGGGGGGCAACGGGGCAATTTGCCCCGGGCCCCCAGTTTAAGTGGGGCCCAAAATTTGCAAAAGTGGGGGCCACAAAAGGTGTAATTTAAAAAAATTATTCGGAACGTTTTTTTTATATAAATAATGGGATTCACCCCCCCTCTCCAAAATGTTTGGGAAAAATAGGGCTCCCTAAATTAATTTGGCCCGGGCCCCCGAATTTCTTTGATAGGCCCTGAGTGTTACTGTTTTAGTGTCGTACATGGTGAGCGATCATTCCAGTTCAGCCGGTGGACTGATGCAGTTCAAATCTGATTTCACCTCTGAGAAGAGTGCATGCGTCTAGTTTGACTCGATCTTCAGAAATACCGTAAGCAGTTCTGCGCGTTCTTCGGTTACCTTCTGGTTCAGCTAAGACTGGGTACAGATCCAGATAAACCATCTTTATTTCCATTAACAATTCATTCATATATTGTTTGTGCACATGTATACAGGCTCGCTGACCCAAATCGACTCAGGACCTTCCGGAATTGTGTATGGTGTAAACCGTCATCATCAAATTTATTGCCGCACAGGAATTTCTTTGAGCAGACCTAAAGGAACAGGTTGGGTGCGAGTACCTGGAGGTCTGAAGTATGTAAGTTGTGGTGTTTATGGCTGTTGGGGAGTGAACAGTGCTGATCAAATTTGGTTTCGTCATGGTGTGACTCCCAGTAATTGCGCTGGAACCAAGTGGGTTAGAATAGGCGGCGCCTTGACTCAGCTAGAGGTAAGGGCTATACATTACATGTATGCTAGTCAGCGATTTATAAGATTCCACGTTTTTTAACTAATGTTGCCTTTATTTAGAGCAAGATTGGTTATAGGAAATTACGCACGTTTTTGGTGAAATATTACTGAGCTTAAGCAAGCGACATATTTGTGAACACGGATGTCACCCAGAAATTGGTATTAGTAATTTTGACGGCATTTTGCATCATAGCGCTCGTGCAAGGAATAAAAAAACTTCAAAAATCTTATGTTTTGTCATATGTGTTGAAGATTACCACAACCCACCGGGCACACGACGTTGTTTCAACGTTGAAATTTGGTAGAAAAAAGGTTGCGACGTCGACAACCTAATATCTACGTTGCTCTGACGTTGTTTTACAAACATTGGTTCAACAGCAGCCAACAGACGTTGAATTAACGTTCATTCATGGTTAAATGTACGACGTCGATTTGTGAACCAATCTCAACGTTGTTTTAATTTAACAAATTTAATTTGGCACATAAAAAACTGAATATTTACATAACTTAAACGGACAATTACATTGTACAAGAAGACGAGGAAAGTGCCAAAAGTGGCAAAACACAAACGAGACTATGTCCCATGCAGGGTGCTCACCACTAGACAACAAACAAAGACAAGAAACAAAGACAAGGAAGATTAAATGAAAAGACTAAGAGAATGAAAAGGCAGAAAGAATGAAAAGACAAAGAGAGAATTGTTAGATATTTTTTATTGAGTCGTGATAAGTGAGTGTGAACTAGGTAAGTCAGGAGTGTAGGAAGTACTAGTGAGGTGGATGTAAGTCTTGCGCAAGTATGACTTAAAAGAGGAGACAGTGACATAACAATACGAAGGAGCAGACGTACAAACATAGTTCCACAGTTTAACAATTCTAACACAATACGAACTTTGAAATGTACTTGTTTTGCATGCTTGTGTTCTCAGAAGACCAGAAGTGGCCGCGCGTGTCCTTCCCGTTGTAACTTCAACATACTGCGATATGTCAAAATCTGTGAGACCGTACATGCATTTATAGAAAAATATCAAGTCCTTCTGTTCTCTGTCGTATACAAGCGGGATTAAATTAAGTTGCATTAAGCGCTGTTTGTTTTAACGTGGATTCAACGTTGAATTATGGTTGACGAGATTGGCAACCTAATTTCAACGTTGTTTCAACGTCGAAACAGTAACACCAATCCAATTTGCATAGTCAACCCTTTTTCAACGTCTATCCAACGTCTGGAAGGTCATTTCCAACGTTGACTCAACGTTGGATAAACGTCATTTTGCCCGCTGGAAATTAACCTGATACAAACACAGTTTTTAATCCAGTCCTCGCTCGACAATCTGACGTCCGTGTTGACAAAAACTTCGCTTGCTTAAGCTCGCTATTTATAACGCTCCGCGAGTGCGTGGCACATATGTGTGATTTTTCATTAATACTTCGAGAACAACTCTAATTTCCTATAAATATCACTTGATAGTAATTTTTTTCGAGCAGTCAATGACACGAAATACTGCCGATTACGATTTACGACCGTGCACACACTATTTGCAAGTTCATGTAAGTTACACAATTACGCAAGTCTACAAAATCATGACTATAGAAACATGTGACGACCACAACTAGTTACAAGTCCATTTACACTGCACGCAAAAATTTCTACATCAATAATATTACAATACATGTATCCGTAACAGATAAACAACATTTCTTCAAGTTAGGTAACATGTTCTTCAAGTAACTAGCTTGACTTTTGTAGAAAATGTACCATGTAATGCGGTAGTCTGCAGACCTTGAAAACCCTAACCTACTGCTAGTCTTTTCTCAGTGATCTTCAAGATTCCTATAGAGAAAGCTCATGGTCTCTTATTTGTATCCTTAATATTTTGGCTGTAGTACGTAGCCTATTTAATGGATGTGGGAATAAAAATAATTAAGTTTGTCTCATTTGATAGAATTTTTAAAATTAGATAGAAAACTCTTTTATCGATTTTTCATATCTTGTTTAGTTTTTGAAATATTATGCATGAAATCATCCTACTCCTATACGACCAAATAAGAATTAGTAGATTCATAAAACGTTGTCAGACAAATGGTTATTTTAAATAGTGATGGAATAATGACGATTGCATATCTGGGTAAAATGTTTGCATGACTTGCTTGTGACGTAACGTGTACATCCCGCTGAAATGAATATAACTGGACACTACTTTAGATAAATTGCCAATCTTTTTCTTGAAGCTAATTCTTGACCCCTAGACACGCGTGTCTATATCAAGACCCACGTGTTTATATCATGATTGACCGATTGAACGCTCTTCGCATGCGTAAAAAGACTGGGACTGACCTTCAACTTTGGTTTCAAATTTCTGGTTGGAGGTATAGCGTTCCAGTTATATTCATTTCCAGGTTGGACGCATAATTTTAAAGGGTTTTTTAAAAGACAAACCAAATTTTAATTGCCATATCTCTTTAAGTTTCCTATTAGAACACATCAGCCTTTAGTTTAGGACATTCTGTACACTTATTTACTTTGCCTATAGAACTATTGTCGGTCCTCGTTTACAATATCACGAATTTATATCACAAAATGAATTGATGCGATGTTAAACTATATCCCGCAATACATCACTTTCTATCACAGAAATAAGCACTTTTTGACAGAAATCTAATGTGCGGTTTTAGGTGGACAAAGAGGGTAAAGTTTACGGAGTTAACGTTCACAAGAGTCTTTTCGTCCGAAATGGTGTTTCGTCCTCTAGGCCAACAGGAACTACATGGAGACACATTCCAAGCCGTCCATTCACGCATATTTCAGCAGGTTATTCAAAGATAGTCGGGTTGGTCTCTAGTGGTGCTATTTACTATTATGGCGGTAAGTTCAGAAGATACTAAAGTGTTGGATATTCGGACTAAATCTGACAAACTCTTAAAGTTTATAAATTTTGAGTAGTGTTTAGTGTACTGCTTGGATGATAATACTGACATTTGTCCAAATATAAATTCGCAATTTTTGGCAACTACATTAGCAACAACATTAGCATAAACATTAGCAACACAACAATCACAGTCAATGCACCAACAACGTAAGCGGAACAAGATCAGCAAAAGCAGCAACAACGATTTTAATTTAAATCAAACTGATTTATTTTCTTTATTTAAGGTGATTGGTCCATTATTCCTGGAAGTCTCAAGCAAATTGACCATGGGCTGACCACAGCAGTATGGGGTGTGAACCGTCATGACGCCATATATCGTTTGAGAACGTCAACCTGGCAAAGAATCCCAGGGGCTCTGACACATGTGTCGGCAGGCGAAGCAGGCATTTGGGGAGTGAACAAATATGACTACATTTTCTATAGAAATGGCGTGACCGAAAACAACCCATCTGGCACATCGTGGAGACACATACCTGGCAGACTGAAACAAATCGATTCTGGTCCAAGTGGTATTGTTTATGGTGTAAATGTTAATGATCAAATCTACTGCCGTACAGGGATCGAGTATGGTAAACCTTTTGGTACCGGCTGGAGGCAAGTGACCAGCGGTGGTAGGCTGAAATACGTCAGTTGTGGTGTTCTTGGTTGTTGGGGTGTGAACAGCGCTAATGACATATGGTATCGCTCTGGGGTAACGAAGGAAAATTGCGTTGGTGCAAATTGGCATCACATATCTGGAAAACTCAAGCAGATCGAAGTGGGTGCAGCTGGTGATGTCTATGGCATTAATTCTGCCGGAAACGTCTACCGTCGTACTGGTATCTCTGAGTTAGTCCCCTTGGGTAGTGGTTGGCAAAAGATCGAGGATTACGGTTCCCACATCACTACTGGCCTGAATGGACAGTACCTGTTGGTTAATGGTCGAATACATTATTCTAGTGGTAGGTATTTAAGCTGATATCTTGATACTCGTTAATAAATTCAGGATTGTTTCTCAGAATACTTTTTCTCCTCAAATTCAGGTTGTCCAAGACGTTCTCCGTAAACAACAATGACATATTTCCCTGAAATGGTTACACGGACCACGACGAAGTAAAATTGTAGATTACAGTAACTCAATAAGTTGCATAGACAGTATGGCATAGTTTTGATGAAATTATAAAACTGTATAGATTGTATAAGAAATACCAGATCGTAGATTGAAAAACAGATCGTAGACATACATAATCTCTTTAATTCTTTAAAATGTTTGCTTAATAAATTAAAAATATTTACTTTTGTAATAAATATGCATAACTAATAGGAATAAACTTGTCTACTCCGAGAATTTTTGTGGCTGTTATAGTTCATTTCTCTCTTAATACATTTTACATGGTAACACAGATTAGTATCGTATATATATTATTTTGTGTTTCTCAACAGTCAGATAACATTTAAAATGGTCGCTATAACTGTGTAAACTACAAAATAATGTTAAAACAAAGTAATTTTGAGGGGAACGCCAAAAAGATTTTAGGTTTTGAACACTTTTCATCGCAAATGCACCTCTAATAATACACCTGCACGGTCAAACTTTGATATGTGGGCTTTCACCTAAAAAGCGCCTGATTCACTTCTTTCACCTTTACGCAAGTCTGATCCATACAAACATATTTGCGAACAGCACTATACAGGGTGTATCAAAATAAACGCAATCCATCTTTTGTGCTTAATAACTTTCGAAATACTATTTCTAGTTAAACGCTTTTAGGCTTACTTCAAAGCCTGTTCTTTTCTCTTTCAAACAAACTATTATTCTTGTCTCCAATGCTAGTAATAATTGCACAGGAAAAGATTTAGTAAACCTATCGTTTTTAGTTGCTGTTTAATTATGCAAGTTTACTATGTTATTGTTTAGTCGGTTTAAATGTTATAATTTTCTTCTTTAAACTTTAATATTGTCGTCACTACATCTGGAAAACCACGTAAGAACAAATTAAAAGTATTTTAAAAGAGACCAGGTTGTTTGAAAATCCTAAACGAATGCTAAAAATCGTCAAAACATTCTGGTGTCTGAGCCAGAGTGTCATCGAATTGCGATGTAATGTAAACAGAAATTATAGCAAGTTGATGTCAGTCAGCCGCTTAGATGGTCCAAGCCAAAATTATATCGCATTTGAAGTCTCAAACTGAGTTAAAAATAGTGGAAGAAAAGCCGTAATTATACTTATTGTTACAATCCATTTAATAAAATGCAACATTTTTTGTTTTAATGAAAAAATCAGTTATTTTCATGAGAATGATTTGTTATTCCATCTCAATTTTTTTAATCTCCAATCGCAATAACGTAAAGTATTATTACCCGCGAACCAATGAGTCAAATTTAAGAAACAACCCACTGTTAGAAAGCTGAATGGCAACGCTTTAAAATGAATGTAAACTTTAACGTTTTCGTCTATTATTTGTTTAGCAATTTACATTTCAGTCGAGGATTGCGCTTTTTTTGATACACCCTGTATACATGAAATTCAGTGAATAATCGAAACGACTGGCCCAATAGTATATGCCTCATTTTGTTATTTATAAAAATAAACACATCCCAATTTTGGTATGCTCTGCAGCTCTGGCTGAAATGTATTTTGATAAGATTCCAGTTATGAATTCACTCCTCCACTCTCTCCAGTAATTTTATAGCTCAGTGGTATGAACGGGCGATACCGGACCAAAGTCTGAAACAATAAAGTGTAGCAGTGGCATTGCCGTCGATTAGTGATGAAATATCCTTCAAGCTTCGAGAGGTTTAGTAAAAGTCTCTTGGCGCTGCGCGACTCGGGGATTTTACTAAACCTCTCTCGGTTTTCGGGTACATTTAATCACTAATCTCCTTGAATGCCTTGCTATTACTCATGGGCGTACCGGAAGGAAAAAATTAGGG